GAGAGAGAGAGAGAGAGAGAGAGAGAGAAAGCAGACAATATAAGACATACCCGACGAGGAAGAGAGTGCCGGACAAAAGCCAAGTCAAGAGTCCGGGAGAGGCGACCGTTTCGGTCATCACTTGTGCGCTACAGTGACTACACGTCACTTGCATTGGATACGGACCGAACCCCTGCACGTTCACTATCACCGCAGCTGCCATTGCTGTATATGAATAAACTTGGTTATTAATAAACACGATCAATTGTGTGATTAGTGATAAGCTGAGATTAAATAAGTTGTGTAATATATTATGGTAATTATATGGGTTTTGTGTATTAGTAAAATACAAGTGGGTGTTAAGTGCACTTCAAATATGCACTCGTGCACCATGCATGATTAATCTCTACTGGATTTACTGTAATAAGGAGATTAATTTTAATAGTGAAACAAACATTTCATAAGTAACAAAGTAGCAAGCATGAAAAAAATAATTGGGTATTAAATTCATACAAGTTAATTCATACAAATTAAGTTTTAAATAAAAATTATAAGTTTTGTTGCAGAATAAAAAACTCATTCAAAAAATTACAAACAAGATAAAATATAAAAATAATTAGAAGTGGTAAACAAATTGAAGGGTTTGAGAGGTATGTATGGGAACAAAGAGGTACAGGAGTGAGATAGGGGTTATAAAAGCCAGACCTGGATGACCACTGCCGGGTGGGGCGCCGATCACCACAGATGGTCCGATAGGGTATCCACTTTGATAGCCTGTATAATGTGTTATATAAACGGACAGGGATGTTTATAGTATTAGATAATAGATTAGCATGGCCAGATATGTATGGCATAAAGTGGATAGTATGTTTATAATTACTATTATTAATTAGTTAGTAGAGTGTATATAATTAGTAAAATGTACATTTGTTCTGTAGGGTAATTTTAGAGTGATTATATAAAAAATATGTATAAATCATACTCGGTTAAAAACTCTTGAACCAATCGCCAAATAATTATATTTTGAAAATTAATTTATATTATTCAACAATGTAAAGTTTGTTTTTACAGTTTATAAATCACACACACACAAAATATAATAAGAAACAAAAATCACATTAAAACAAATTGTGGTAACACTACTATTTGATAGCAAAGTTAATTCATAAACAGATTAAACAGAGGCAGATGTTTGTAACAATCTATGTTAATTTTTGTGATGGTGTTAATCACGCAAAATATATAACAAAAATAAATAGTAATTTGATTATTGTTTTTTTCGATTCACAAAAAATATATATAAGTATTTCATTTAATCTGTCAATTGATTTGTATTAATAGTAAACATGTAAATATTTAGCTACTTTTTTTTAACCTAATCATTACATTTCTCAATAGCCCAACACTGGTATAGACCTGGAGACTGATTGTTAGCACCGGTAGGTGTTTGTGGGTCTAAATCTTTCACAATTATACTGGAGCTATGATTTGGCAGAAATACGTATATTATATTTTTAATACAATAATAAAATTTGATTTATGAAAAAAATGATTGTTTTGTTGCCAAAGAGTTTTTTGTGTATAAAGTAGTTATTATGCGATAAATGTCGGTATAATTATATGATTGCAGTACTATGTGAAATAATAGCAACTCATTGTCCTGACACTCCGGTATACAACACGGGATGAGACAACAGCCTAACCAACAACTGATGGGTTGGGAACAAAATACATA